CTAAGCTCTCCTGGGTCCTCCCCTCTCTCACTATATGCCGCCCTCTCCCATGCTCCCACTTCTCACACGTACGCGTCTCCGGAGCCCATGGGCGAAGGGGGCAGCTGGCCGCGAGAGTCCCTCTGGCTGGGGAGGACAGCAAACGAGTCAAGAGATCTATCACCAGCTCAAGAGAGACCCCTGGAGACCCTCAGCAGGAGAGGATCCAAGAGGGAGACAGGATTGGGGACCTCCGACCTCAGGGGGAAGTGCCCTCTACCAAGGGCAGGGGGTCAGCTGAGAACCCTGGGTACAAGGGGCCCAGTGCCCGTTGAGCACATGCCAAACACAAGGACACCTCCCCTTGCCGAGAAGGCGGAAGAAGCCCAACAGGAAGAGCTGGCCGAGGCCAGGAGGAAGCTGGATGCCCGCACTGTGTCCCTGCAGGAGCTAAGACGCACACGTTGGACCTGGCAGCAGCCCTGGGACAGCAGCCCTGGGACAGCCACTTCTGAGGGCTGCCACTCGCCGGAGGATGCGCCTCAAGGCCATGCCGCGCCCCAGCCCTGCCTCTTGAGGGTGCCATGGGGCCTGGGTGTCCTTCCCCCCCCCCCCCCCCCCCCCCCCCCAGCGCTCTTCATCCACAGGGAACTACGGGCCCCACAGCGGTGCTTCTGTCCTGTCTGACAGCGCCTTCTCCTCTGCCCGGAGCCTGTGTCCGCTTTCCCTGTAGCTCAGTCTGGGGCGGGAGCCTGCCTCCGTCGTCGGGGCGGAGGGACTGCGTGTTCTGCTAACACAGAGGCGCTGGAGAAAGCACGCAGCTGTGAAACCCCATCAACCCCAACCAGAAGAAAGAGGAGCAGCGGGAACATGGGCAGAAGCGAGCGAAGGGACCAGGTGTCTGAGACGGTGGCCACAGGCTCACAGCCAGGCCGCCGGGATCCTGGTGTCTGAGGAGACAGACGTGCGGGCAGCTCTGGCTGGGACTCACCCAGCGGCCAGGCAGAAAGCCCGGAGGGGAGGAGGGCCTTGCTGGCCTCCTGTCCATTCCCCAGCCTCCCGTCGGAGACCTGGGTGGACAATGCACACGGCAGACACAGGCGGTACCACCAAGGTCTCACCCAAACGCGGGAGGCCCTAACGCCGGGGTCACACAAGGACAAGCCAACGCAAAAAGCCCCTGAAGCAGGAGAACGGGGAGCGGCGGGGGCAGCTTCGGGGCTCGGTGACCCGCAGGGAGGCCGGGCAGCTCAGGGTGGCAGAACTGCCGAGGAATCGGGAAGCCCTGGTAGCAAGGAGCAGGGGCAAGAGGCCCTGGGAAACCAGGCTCAGCTGGAGACACGTGTGGAGCCGCTGAAGCATCTGCTGAAGTAGCAGCAGGTGGAGAGAGACCAGTACGCAGGCACCCCGAGAGGAGAGAAGGCCATCTGACAACAGAAGATGCAGCCAATGTCAGAGCAGATGTGCAAGTGGAGGGACGACACACACGGAGCACAGCAGACGCCGGGCGCAGGAGCTGGACAATAGCCCAGCTGGACGGAAGAACCAGATTGCTGTCCTTCCTCCCTCCCCCCAGGAGCCCCCAGCAGGGCCCTCGGAAGTGGGACAGCGGCTACCAGCCAGAGCACAACAGCTACGACAGGCCGTCCAGGCGGCCGCGGGCAGGCTGCAGAGCCACCCTACTTACAGAGGCAAAGCAAGGGAAGGTGGGGCTGAAGAAGCTGGGGCGCCATCATTCAGCTGTCCGCAGAGACAGGTGCAATGGGAGCATAGCGCAGACCGCCCGCGACCAGCATCAGAGGGCAGTGCTGTAGGAGCGCCACCTGGAGGGGGAGGAGTGCATTAGCGGCTGGCGAGGGACGAGGGGGAAACGAAGGGGAAGTTCGTGCAGCTGCAGGAGCTGGTGAAACGCCTGAGCTGGAGGCGAGCCTCATGGATTGTGTGACAAGATCCTGCCGGATGCCCAGAACCTACTGGGGAGCACTGGGGGGCCGCCTACAGCCCCCCTACGCAGCTGGCGCTGCTCATAGCCTGGTGATCCCTGCGAGGCGAGCCTCGCTGCCAGGATGGACCTGGGCACTGGGAGCTCCGTCAGGCAGCTGCCCTGTGAGATGCAGAGCCCCCAGGAGTACCCGGGCTTGAACGTGGGAATCTAATAACCTGACACTCTCCTGGAGAAGCAGGGCCGCGGTTCTGCCCCACCCAGTCCCTGCCACCCTGGCCCCAGCACCCTGTCCTGTTGTTATTATAACATGAGAATAAACTTATGTATTGATAACATAGGACAGAGGAAGGAGGTGAGGACAGAGGTTGATTCGACCCTATTTGTTTTGTTTTAATTAGGACTAAATGGATTAAAAAAACACATAGCCGAGACCAGTTTGGCTCAGTGGATAGAGCGTCGGCCTGCAGACTGAAGGGTCCCGGGTTCAATTCCGGTCAAGGGCATGTACCTTGGTTGTGGGCACATCCCCAGTAGAGGGTGGTGCAAGAGGCAGCTGATCAATGATTCTCTCTCATCGATGTTTCTGGCTCTCTATCCCTCTCCCTTCCTCTCTGTAAAAGATCAATAAAATATATTTAAAAAAAAAATACAAGGAGGCATCTGTTCCAGCCCCCCCCCCCCCCCCCCCCCCCCGGAGAACAGGAGAGGATCCGGAAGATGCGAAGCACAGAACCAAGGGCGCATCCCCCCCTGTGCACGGCCCAAGCCCACCCGCCATCAGAGGTGTTTCTAGGGCGAGGAGGGTATTCAGCCTGAAGGATGAGCCGGTCAGGGGCCAGATCGTAAACACAAAGTGAGAGATCTGTGGAGCTGATGCGGTGAGAAGAGTCCACCCAAGGATGTCCCCATGGCCCCGGCGGCGACCCAACGGACACAGTCCCCGCGACACAGACTCCCTTCTGCCCTGGACGGGGAAGGCGCACATTCCACAGGCTGCGGGCACCGGAAGGCTGGAAGTGGCACCGCCCCAACCGGCACCCAGAAGGTCAAAGACAGAGCCACGAATGCCAGCACCTCTGAGGTGTCAGGGTCAGCACCCGTGTTTCAGGCAGCCGTACCCCACACCCAGGGGTCCCCTGCCTCTGGGAGAAGCCTCAGAGCCCCGGACCTGGAACCAGCAGAGAGGTGTGGGGACAGGTTCTGGGCAAGGGGAACATGAACGCGGGATGAGGCTTTGTCTCAGGGTCTCCATCCACTGAGAAAAGGAAAGGACAGAAGAGTCACAGTCCAAACCACGCCATGTCAGGCTGTGAGCAGGGCCCCAGACGCCTAGCAATCAGAGCCTCTTGGGGAGGGGGAACGATGAACTGAGGGGGTCTCCAGGCACCCCAGCTTCCCCTGATGGGAGTGGAGGATGCTTTTCATCGCCATCCTGGAATTGTCCTCCCCACCCACCCAGTAGTTGCATCTCCAGGAGCAAATGCTTGCATGCCTGGAACAAGCTGGCAGTCCCCTGCAGGGGGCATCCCTGCTCACCCTCAGTGCGGATCCCTAGCACTACTGGTTTCTCCTAGCAGCCACGTGCGGTAGACTCCCTGTGCTCAGTTTGGAGGTGTATGTTGAGGGGATCCCAGGACTTGGGGCGCAGGGCCTGGAAGGGTCCCCTTCAGTCTGCCTGAGGCTGACGGGGCCCCCCCACCCATCCTTTCTGGGCCTTTTCGTTGGACCTGCTCAGAGGTCCCCTTCCTTAAGCTGTTCATACTTCCTCAGTACGTTTACAGAAGAACGCTAAGAAATAAATACAGTAAGACATCCAGAAGCTTCTCTTCGCAAGAAGTGTACCTCCACCCGAAGACACAGATACACCAGACTGTGTCCTGCTCCCTCGCCACCTTGAACTTGGTACAGCTGTGTGAAGGGGGGTGTGCAATGAGGTGACAAGGGAGGGCACAACTGAACGTCCCCCATCAGTTGGGCGGGTGAGAATCCGGTAGCTTCTTATTTCACACGGTTTGGAGGAGGGAGTTCGGGCGCTGGCCCTGCAGGCTCAGGGGCAGAAGAAACAGAACCGGCTGGTGAGGGCCAGGGGCCAGCTGCCCCCAACGGCCCTCCCTTCTCCTGGGGGCAGAGTCCATCTACAGCAAGTCTCCTCCTCCGTCCTCCACACAGAAGGGACGGAAACACCAGCTCTTCCACTCGGTTCAAGGGGGTCGAGGTGGGGAGGACACAGGGAAGTGGCTGTGAAGTTCCTCCTCAAGCCCCCCCCCCCCCCGCCTCCGTTCCACACACACGTGCCTCTTACTTGGCAGCCTGTTTAAGGCTCCAAAATTGTCTTCCTCACCCAACCCCAGGGAAGGCTCGGACCCCCAGTGTGAGTGGCTCCGGGGTGACTCTGGTGGAGTGACCGGTGGCAGCTAGGCGAACCCCCACTCTGGAGTGGGGCTGGAGGAGGGTGAGGAGGGACCCTTTACTCCTCCCTGTCTCCCCACCAGAGGGTGAAGACAATGGAGAGCAGATGGGGTCTTGTTAGCAAAACTACAGGGAGGGGCACCTGGCATTTCAGCTTTAAACAAGGAATCTCAGCGTAACCACAAGAAATCCAGGGTGCTTTCCAGCCCCCACAGTGGGGACTTAGTTCAAAGTGAGGGACGCAACATTAGACCTCTGCCCGGGGCACATCTCCCACCACCGTCACCCCCAGAATGGGTTGGGGAACGTGAATAATGTCCATTGCCACGTGGACACAGTGCTGGGTGAGCACTGAGTGGGATGTGGGTCTTGCCGCGGTGGGTCCTGGGCTGACCGGCACAGGTCCTAGAATCAGGTCAAGTGCGTTGCACGAATCTGCCATGTTTTGTGGCTTAACACTGAACTTGACAGTGAGGTCTCCCCACTGAGTAGGTACCTTAAGGAAGGTACATGCAGACACGTCCCACTGGCTGGCTCCATGGCGTTACTGCAGGTCAAAGTGTCAGCCATCCATCTAGTGTTCCCCTTGGGGCCACGCATGGGGAAATGAGGCAGAGAGTGAGGAAGGTTCTGGGTGGCCAAGGTACCTGATGAGGGGCAGGGACACTGGAGTGCAGGTTTGCATCCTGGCGAACCTGTGTGGATCCTCTCTTTGGGCATAAAGACAGTGCCTGCAGGGAAATTTCCCGATGGAGTACCCCTCTCTGGTAAACGTTTTGTGCCCTCCTCACGCTGTTCCTTTGGCACGGTGCAGAATCGTGTCCTTTGGGCATACAGTTGGCCTCCAGGGTGAGGAGTGCAGTGCTGTGATCTTCCTGTACTGATCTGTGCAGGGCCTAGAAACAGGACAGGACAGGAACATTTACCTGTTAGGTCTCCAGTGTAACTTTGAACTTGACAATGAGGTCTCCCGGTAAGTGCATACCTTGAGAAAGATGGAGACTCTCACATGTCAAAGGGCCGCCAGACATTACTGGTCCATGTCTCACCACGATTTTCTAAAACAGAAGAGTTTTTAAGTGTCCCACCTGGCATTTTAATAAACGATGCTTTGCAGACATTGATAAAACCAGAGAAACAAAACCAGCAGATAACGTGGGAGAAATTTTCAATGTCATGTTTTACTTCTTAGAAGATCACAAGATCATGAAAATGAAGCCACACGAAATATACTTTTTGAATCTAGTTCTTCCATTTGGTATGACATTTGGAAATCCATCTTGCTATGGCATGTGCCAATAATTTGTTCCTTTATACAGTGGTGCCTCACACAACGAACTTAATTCGTTCCAGGAGCAAGTTTGTTATGCGAAAAGTTTGTTATGTGAAACGCGTTTTCCCATAACAATACATGTTAAAAAAAATAATTCGTTCTGTAGCATAAAATATGCTAAGAAGACATAAAAAAAGATAAATTTTTTGTTATTATTTTTATTTAGATACATCATGATATAAAAAAAATATTGAGTTTAACTTAAAAGGACGACTGCCGTGATACGTGCGTGATTTAATTCGTAATGAAGAACGATTGCCGCGATACGTGCTTAAGTTAAGCGCAGTGACTAACGACTGCCTGCAGTGCCTGCGCGGAAGGATGCAATACATCGGCAGCGATCGTGGAAGCTCGGGCGAAGCAGTCGTGGAAGCTCGGGCGACTTCGTTGTATGAATCATGAAATGAAGTTCGTTGTGTGCAGCGTTCGCTGTGCGAGGCGTTCTTTATGCGAGGCACCACTGTATTCCTAACGAATTTTCTATTGAATGAATATACAATTCATTCTATATATATATATATATATATATATATATATATATATATATATATACACACACACACACACACACACACACACACACGCACACACACCTGAGTTATAAACTCTTTGGAGATATTATGAATAAATCTTTGAATATTCATATACATGTAAGTAGATTTCTTACATGTATATGTTCATTTCTTTGGTAAGTAAGTAACTAGTAGTAGAATTTCTGGATGAAATTCAGAAATTCCCAACAGAGCAGTTATTTTATTTACCAACTTATCTCAAGTAATTAGATATAATCCTGGCCCAAGTAGAACCGCAATGAACGTTTGTTGAATAAATAAATGAAGCCAATTTCTTTGCCAAGCAATTAACTGAATTTTTATTAGGTACCAAACATTGCCCTAACTATAATATTTCCTTTAATTTTTCTAACAATCCTAAATATTAACTATAATTAACCTTATTTTACTAATGAGGTTCTGAGAAATTAAGAACTTGTTGAAGATTACAGAGCATGTTAATGATAGAACTGGATTCCAGTCTTTTAATTTCAAGCTTTTATCTCTGTTGTACCTGGTTCTAAGTAATATTGGGCGCATTGGCTAACCACTGGATGGAATTAACAGTGACAGGATTAAAAGCCAGATAGCATTGAGAACCATTGTAAATAGCTCTTCGCACCTAGTTTTATAATCTAACTGGAGGCCTGTTGCATGAAGAGATTCCTCTGGCACCTGCTGCCTTCGTCTTCACTGCAGACTCTGGAGTTTGCAGTCTTTGTCTTCGCTGTGGCCAGAGTGCTGCTCCTGTAGATTCCTTCATGCCTCCCCCTTCCTCTTGTAGCAGGCAGCCTGCCCTGCCCAGCCACTTGGCTCCTGGAGCAGCTGGCGGCTGCCAGCTTTCTCCTTCTAATTTGCATATTCCCTCCTGATTGGCTGGTAGGCATAGCAAAGTGATGGTTAATTTGCATGTTTCTCTTTTATTAGTGTAGATCTTTTGTCAAATTGCCATGGCCAGTACTCAGGCAAGAATATTGAACTTTTGCAGGAAATGTTATTTTTATGATATGTATAATTTGGAAAATGTAGCCTTTTCTTCTTTTTAAAAAAATCCTTGCCTTCGCTTTTTTTTTTTTTTAATCCATTGATCTTTAGAGAGAGAGTGTGGGAGGGAGGGAAGAGGGGGAGAGAGAGACATTGATGGGAGAGAGACACATCGACTGGTTGCCTTCTGCACAAGCCCTGAAGTGGGTGGGGATTGAACCTGCAACTGATGTACCTGCCCTGAACCAGAAATCTAACCTGGGCTCCTCTAGTCCAGTGTTTTTCAACCTTTTTTGGGCAAAGGCACACTTGTTTCATGAAAAAAATCACGAGGCACACCACCATTAGAAAATGTTAAAAAATTTAACTCTGTGCCTATATTGACTATATATAAAGTAATTCTCTTGAATAGGAATCAAATAAACACAAAGAAAGTATTTTATAATTACTTTATTATGAAATATTAAGTAAACAAAATAGTGAAAAATTATAAAATTCTTGTCTTGTCTGCACCTACGGCACACCAGGCAACATCTCGCGGCACACTAGTGTGCCGCGAAACAGCGGTTGAAAAACGCTGCTCTAGTCTGCAGACCAATGCTCTAACCACTGAGCAAAGCAGCCAGGGAGAACTGTAGCCTTTTGATCAGAGAAACAGGCTGACAATCAGTCTGAACACCTGGGATTTCCATGTTGGTTTTGTCACATTTATTAGAATAACATATTTGAAGAATGGTTTAAAGCAAAATTATTGGTGCAGAAAAATTGATGTGTATGCAGATATTCACATAATTTGTCCCAATTGTGCTTTTTTAAATCAAGAAACAAATATGAACAGATTAGCCCCAGATGTGGTTTGTTCATTCTCTTTAGTTCTAAATTTGGTGGCTAGACTTTCAGAGTGAACAAAGGAAATATATTGTTCTAAAGCAAGAGATTTTCTTACAGCGTATTCATACAAATCCTAAATAAGCTAATCAACACTAAAGGATATTTTTTTCCAAAGTTCACCTCCTAGTGACCTTACTTTAGAGGTTGTTAAAAAAAAAAAAAAAAAAAAAAAAAAAAAAAAAGGACTAGTGAGTGTAGAATAGAAGGCTAAGCAATGCTGCAGGAAATGGTCAATTCTCCCTCATTTCAGGGCCCGGTATAGAAAACTAAGTTCATAATTATCCAGGTGTTTGAATACTCTGAACACATAACTTCAACTGAAACCTTGGCAAATGTGATTCATTTCATGTTCTTTAAAAGAGATCATAAACCATATTTTGTTTCTGTATTAGAAGCATGCCTGTTTCTGAAAGTGTTTTTGGTGCATACTAGTAAGGCCACGGTGTTTTTCTTTATTTATTTTAAATAAAATTTTTAATGGGTCTCAAAATTCTGTGACAAATTTTTTGATCATGTGGTTTCCATTAAAAAGTACTGATTTTAAAAACCAATAACTTAAAAACTGCCACACACACACACACACACACACACAAGAACCAAATGGCCCACAAAACATGCTCCTTTCCTTCTGAAGGTTTTACGATGCATTGTAATCACTAACCAGACTTTTACTATTAAATTTAAATGGCCAACTGAGACAAACAGCTCTGAGACCGTTCCTCCACCACTAAGACTGGAGTGGCAGGTGCTGGGAATAACAGTCATTTAGCCTTCTGAGCTTTCTGGGCAGACTTGGTGACTTTGGCCAGCCCCAGCTGCCTTCTTGCCCCCTGCTTTGATCACACTCACAGCAACTGTCCATCTCATGTCAGGAACAGCAAAGTGGCTCAGAGGAGGGTAGTCAGAGAAGCTCTCAACACCCATGGGCTCGCCAGGTCACAGTGTTTTTAAAGCAGTTTCAGAAGAAGACAATCCATTGAAAGTAGGGGGGAAAAAAGAAAAGAAAAGAAAAAGACTACCAGACATCCCACAGAATTGTAGGCACCAAAACAGCTTCCCTACTACTCTAAGGTGACCAGAGGTCCCGCTTTTGACCAAAAGCGGGACGTCTGGTCACCTTATTAACTACTCCTATGTAGTGAACACCTGTAAAGACCTGGGGAAAACCACCCTATAAATGAAAAGAAACGTGTCACATTTACTTAAGTAGTAGTGGCTTAAACTGGGGAAGATTCAAGTTTAAAGACTATTTTGTTCAACCTCACTGTAATGGAATAAAGGAAATGTACCAATTAAGGATAAACTTTAATCTCTGACTATTAAGGATATAGTTGTGTTCATTTTATTGTGCTATCTGATAAAAGTCAAATTTGAATTTGTAAAAAAAAAAAAAAATCACAAGAAAATTTTGACCTCAATGCTGGAATGTTTTGGAAATCTGTTGTACACACATATAAGATACTATAAAACTATAGAGCTGATCACGTAGTAAATGAGGCAAAGGGATCGGAGGCTTATTCATGTAATAAAATCCAAAATGAATACTAATGTGAGTTAAGAAGCAGAGTACTTCCTTTACTTTTTGATTGTATGACAGATGGACTCATGAGTTAGATTTTTAGGCATGTTTGTAATAAAATGATGGGTGAAATGATTGAAGAATGTTTTATTGACATTACTGAAACAAAACAACATTTGGATCTGATCTCGCTTATGAAATTATTATAATTTGGAAAAAGGTGATATTGATCTAAAAATGCTAGTGATGCCGAAACCGGTTTGGCTCAGTGGTAGAGCGTCCGTCTGTGGACTGAAAGGTCCCGGGTTCGATTCCGGTCAGGGGCATGTATGTTGGTTGCGGGCACATCCCCAGTAGGGGGTGTGCAAGAGGCAGCTGGTCGATGTTTCTCATCGACGTTTCTAGCTCTCTATCTCTCTCCCTTCCTCTCTGTAAAAAATCAATAAAATATATTTAAAAAATGCTAGTGATAAGGAACAATGGTGGCAGGTGGTCACAGGTTGCAAAGTCCATTATCCCCACCTAAAAAGCAATTATGTCACAAGTTTTATCCAGGTACAGACTGAGTCTCTAAAACATTCAATCGGAAGGTCCCAATACTTATGCTTTCCCCTTTCTTTTTATTTGTCGGTATTTCTCCCCAGAAACAGGGAGAAAACATAAAAAATTAGTACAAAAGGTGATGGTTTTGAGCCTCCCATCGCCCTGATAAATTGTAAAAATAAGTCTCACTAAAATGTGCTATTAGAAAGTCAAGAATAAAACTATGGATGAAGCCTTGCTTCCACATTCATTAGAAAGTGAAACCTTTTCTTATTTTACCCGTTTACATAGGTAGCTAGGTCAACGTGGACTAATCAATTGCTATTTCATTTCATGTGTTTCAATCTGTTACCGTCATGATTTATTCTGCTGCTCCAACTTGCCCAGCGAGATCTCCTTCGAAGGGCATGCGCATCCTTTGGCCAAGTCCCCTCAGTGTGAGCACGCTCACTGCCAGGCAGATGCTCCCCGTTCACCGCGCACATTCCCTGAAACAGCCCTACACGGTGCCCCTTCTCCGTGGGGATCCTGGCTCCCGCGGCTGGAAACGTGTTTGAAACCACTCTCTGCACGCAGAGCAGGGACACCTAAGCTGGCTGCGCAGTCCGGGCCCAGAAAGGCAGCTTTCTACTTACCGTTTCCTCAGCCACCAGGGGGTCGAGAAGCCTGGGCCGTTCCTAGGCGGGCACGATGGGCAGCCTCAAACCGGGCTCTGCTTCTCACTCTGGAAGCGGCGGCGGCACAAATCCTGGCCCAGGATGCGGGCGTTTCCCCGCACCCACTGGGGCCCCAGTTAGCGCTGGCGCGAGTCGGGCGCCCTCTGCTGGCTCGTGGTGGCAGCGAACGGAGCTCTGTGCCTACAGTTTAGCGGTCACTGCGCGTCCCCTCGCGGTCCCACGCGGTCCTCTCGCGGATCACAGAAATTCTCAAGGCTCCATCACTCCTGTGGTGGGTGTGTGTGTGTGCGCGCGCGCGTGAGAGACTGTGTGTGTATATGTGTGTATGTGTGAGTATGTGTGTGTTTGTGTGTGTGTGTATGCGTGTGTGTCTTTGTGCGTGAGAGACTTATGTGTTTCTGTGTGAGAGTGTTTGTGTGTGTGTGTGAGAGAGAATATGTTTGTGTGTGTGTATGTGTGGGAATCTGTGTGTGTGTGAATCTGTTTGTGTGTGAATGTGTGTGTGTATGTGTATGTGTGAGTGTGTATGTGAGTGTGTGTGTGTGTGTGTGTGTGTGTGTGTGCGCGCGCGCGTGCGTGCATGTGTGTACAAGGTGCCAGGACCTGGTGGCAGGGACTAGGTGGGGCAGCTGCCCTGCCAGGATCTCCATTCCCCTTGTAGCTGGAGCCAAGTTCTTCCATTAGCTCTGGGGTCTGTGGCATTTGGATACTCACCTTCTGCACACCCACCCTGTTTCAGAGGGGACCCATCCACTTATCCCATCTACAGCACCGCTGTCCTCAATTAGAGACACAAGTACACCTGGGACCTGCTTCAAACAACCATAGACCCATGAGCTCAGAAAGTGCTCTAGTTAGCTCATATTCACAGCCATCCTGTTTGCCTCTTTGTACCATAAGGATCGAGTTGAAAATTGGAGTATTAACCATACTCAATGCACAAGGAAACAGGAGAACAAGAGAACAACTTAAAAAAAATAAACTGAAAAGTAAAAAGGTATTTTTAAAAACAGATTTTCATTGATTTCAGAGAGGAAGGGAGAGGGAAAGAGAGAGAGAGAGAAACATCAATGATGAGAGAGAATTATTGACTGGCTGCCTCCTGCACACCCACTGTTAGGGATCAGTTCCCAAACCTGAGGAGAATGGAAGGGTGACCTCCTGGTTCATAGATCGAGGCTCAATTAGTAAGCAACACTGGCCAGGCTGTTCCTGTGTTGGCCTGCACAGCAAAGAACACTATTTTTTTTTTTTTTTGGGGGGGGGGAGTTACTTGAGATTAGGTTTCTTCAAGGTGAATGCTTCCAAACTGTTATGGGATGAATTGTGTCCACTGCAACATCCCCACTTTCCTGCCCTCACCCCTGCTACATCGAAATTGGGTGCATTTGGAGGCAGGAACTTTAAAAAGGTCTTAAGTTAAAAAGAGATTAGGGTGGTACCTAATCCAAAATAATCAAGGAGCTTATAAAAAGAGGAAATTGGGACAACCCACAGAAAAGGACAGAAGACCATGGAAAGACACAGGGGGAAGTTGCTCATCTATAAGCAAGGAGAAGCTGCAAAAGAAACCAGGCTTAACCACAAACATTTTGTGGCTGGTCTAGAGCTCTGAGAAAACTAAGGTCTGTTGCCTGTGATATCAGCTGTGGCTCTGCCATGTGGCAGCTCTAGCAGACTCAAACCTAAACCTACAGGCCTTCACCAAATGAGCAAACTTAACTACTTGAGGGGATTTCAACATTAAGGGTTGAAATTAAGATCACACTTTTGATTTATTAGCTTCTGCAGCTACCACAATATATTTCTTTAGTATTTCAAATTTTCACCACACTAGGAAAATATCTTGGCAATTGCTCAGGTACCTCCTGACTTTTCTATAACCAAGTTTTGATTTTGCCAATGTTGACTGAATGGATTTCAGATTTCAGGGACAACACGTCCCCTTTGTGGCCTTGGGCTGGATGTGTGCTGCTGCCTGTGTCACAGATATTAGTTGGGAGCCTAACCGCACTCTCTCATTCCATAGACTCTGAGGGGCTTTCCCGCCATGAGGGCAGAACTCAGTGGCCACACACAATGCATACTCAACATGCTGGAGTTTTCTAGTCTTTTGATTTTTTTTTAAAAACGTATTTTGATTGATTTTAGAGAGGAAGGGAGAGGGAGAGAGAGGTAGAAACATCAACGAAGAGAGAACTGTATTGATTCACTGCCTCTTGCACACCCCTCCTGGGGATCAAGGACACACCTAGGCGTGTGCTCTTGACCCAACTTGGACTTGGGATCCTTTAGTCTGCAGGCTGATGCTCTAGGCACTGAGCCAAACTGGCTAGGGAGAATTTTCTGGACTTTTACACCCAACGTTTTGATGCCCCTGGGCATACACAGTGTACCAAGCTGATAGTGAGGAAACACGCAGAGCTGTTGACACGAGTGGGGAGGCGGGGAGCGTCTAGAGACAAAGCACAGAGGTGGCAGTTTCTCTGAGATCAACACACACAGAGCTCATGGTCTCTGCGCGCTGCCAGGCAGAGGGAAGGCTCTGAAGTTAGCAGCTAAAAAGTTGCAGGGTCCAGAAAAGGCCTGAGAACTCAATAGGTGCCTAATCCCATCAAGCTACTTCCACTTCCTGGGTGTGGTTCTCCGCCAGCGCCCCCACCCGCAAGGCACTCTGGGAATCCTATAAGAAAGGCAGCGCGCTGCCACCTGCTCATTGCATCTCCAGCTGCTGAGGTGTTCGGGCGCCTTGCCGAGACCATGGAAGGGGTGAGGAGAAGGAGGCCTGGCCAGGAGCATTCAGGTGCCTCTTCCAGGGAGTCTGAGAGCATTTCTTCCAAGGAAAGCCAGTCCCTTGGAGAAAAAGGAGACAATTGGCATCGTTCTGAGAGGCTGATGCAGGTCACAGGGATGGGAAAAGGCTCCCACAGCAAACGAGGTAGGCATCTAACTGCTACTACTACTTCTTCTTCCTCCTCCTCCTCCTCCTCTTCCTCTTCCTTCTCCTCCTCCTCCTCCTCCTCTTCCTCCTCCTCCTCCTCCTCCTCCTTCTCCTCCTTACTCTCCTTCTCCTCCTCACTCCTCTGCCTCCTCCTCCTCCTCCTCTCCCTATTCTCCTCACTCCTCCTCCTTCCCCTCTCCTCCTTCTCCTCCTCTCTTCCTCTTCCTCCTCCTCCTCCTCCTCCTTATCTTCTCCTTCTCTTTCCTCCTCCTCCCCCTCCTTCTCCTCCTCACTCCCTCTCCTCATCCTCTCCTCCTCCTCATCCTCTTCTTCTTCTTCTTCTTCTTCTTCTTCTTCTTCTTCTTCTTCTTCCTTCTTTCTCTCTCTCTCTCTCTCTCTCTCTCTCTCTCTCTCTCTCTCTCTCTCTCTCTCTCTCTCTCTCTCTCTCTCTCTCTCTCTCTCTTCTCTCTCAGGCTGGGCCAAGCAGCAAGCTCACTTTCATTAAAAAAAAAAAAAAAAAAGTGAGGAAAAAGCCAAGGTGAAGGCTGGCTTTCTTCAGGCTATGGGCTCTGCCATCTGAGGGCTCTGGGGCTGAGGGCGGGTTTCCAGGAGCAGAGGTAGGGGGCTTTTATGAATCTGGGTCCACCCCACTCTATGCCAGACTTCCAGAGAGAGTTCACTCCCCTCCTCTCCCCCCACAGCCACCACCAGGCAGAGCCCGGGTCCCCGGAGCCCCAGGCCCCGTGGGTGGGGAAGCCCTGATGGCCCCCTAAGCAGTCGCCACACAGAAAACAGACACCCAGAAGAAAAGGTGAGGGGACGGCCATCCCCCACCCCAGGGAGGAGGAAGGACAAGCCTGCCTCCACCAGAGCAGGACATCTGGACAGAGGAAGTAGGTGTCTGGGCTGTGCCTCCCCAGAGGTGGGGGTGTGGGCCCTGGGGGAGGGAGGGACAGACCCTGACTCGGTGAGAGGTTCCCAAGGCCCCCAAGGGCTGAGAGGCGGAGGCCCAGGACTTGGCAGCGGTTCCCAGCGGCCCCTGGAAGGGGCCAGCAGTGGGGCTGAGAGGGGAGTGGGGGTGGGGGGTGGGAAGGGGCCTGGGGACTTGGGCCAGGCCGCTCACACTGGGCCCCTTCTGTGCTGTTTCCCACGCAGACTGGGCCCACCGTCCCCCGCAGCTCAATGGCAGGAGGACCCGGCCCAGAAGCCCAGCAAGGACCAAAGGTCAGAAATGCTGCCAGGAAGACCTAGAGGGCAGGCCCGCCTCCCCCAAACGCCGCAGCCACTGCCTTCACCGCAGCCCTCGGAGCCACAGCCACAGCCGCCACAGCCACAGCCGCAGCCGCCACGGCCTTCACCGCAGCCGCAGCCCCTCTGCAAGAGCCTGCGCGCCTCTGGATGAACTGGTGCCCAGACTAGGCACCCAAGTGGGGGGGCTGCAGGTAGTCCTGGACGAGCTGCGGGCTCCGGGGGGCGCTTTCCTGCCAGTGCCCTCCAGTGGCCCGCAGCCAGAGGCCCGAGAGCCCGAGGCCGGGCATCGCGCCTGGCTCAGCTGGCAGCTGGCGCACACGGGGGCCAACCTGCACTGGGCGCTCACCGCGCTGGACTCGCTGCTGGCCGCTCAGCCTGGGCTCCCCGCCCCGCCGCCCTGCCCTCCCCGCGCCCCTCAGCCTTAGAGGCCCGCCCCGCCAGCCCTGCCACCGTCCTTTCCCATCACACTCCCTGCACCCAGCTCAGGGTGCCCAGAACAGGGTTTCCCCTGCAGACAGCCTGCAGGGAGAGCTGCAGAGGAGAGCATTTCTCCTGCGGGCTCAGTTCCTGTGACTGCCATTGATGGGGCCTTTTCCCCGTCCTATATTTTCCTGTTTTATATGAAAAATAAAACCCGGTTAAAGAAACATACGTGTGTGTGTGTGTGTGTGTGTGTGTGTGTTGTTGTTGTTGTTGTTGTTGTGTGCACGCACGCGCTTGCGCAAAAGGCTCTGATGGATTTGGCTCAGGGGATTGAGCATAGGCCTGAGGACTGAAAGGTCCCTGGTTCAATTTATCTTGGTTGAGGCTACTTCCCCAGTATGGGGTGTGTAGGAGGCAGCTGATCAATGTTTCTCTCTGTCAAAAAAATAAATAAAAAAAAAATATATATATATAAAGTGGTTGAGCAAAGCACAGGGACAGAGACTGACTGCTGGGGAGGAAGAACCATGAAATTCAGGAAGATTCTGAGAAGCTAGAGGACCACTATGGGGTTCAGGGCATGAAGTCCCCTTATTCCCTTGCCATCAGTCCCATGTCTTCCTCACAAACAAAGACAATCACATGACTGCAAGAGAAATCATTTATTGATCAGGTATAGGAGGGTCTTATTCATGATAGAACTCTGGGTATGGCCAACAGAGTGGGGAATTTAGAGAAAACCATTGATTCTTGTGGAAGTGATGAGTCTGTCAAGACAATTAGAGAAAATCCATTAGATTCAGAGATAATTCCTTCTTAGGTGATAGTGATGGAGATCAGGTCGCAGACCTTGTCACGGGCTGACACAGGAACCATGGAATGAAGATCCTGGAGCCCAGGTCAGGAAGCATTCACTCAGCACTAAACAAGCAGATGAGAGAGAACACAGAACTCATTAAGCACTTCCTGGGTTGAATTAAAGAGAAAGAAATTTTTTATTACAGAGCAAAATGGTGAAGAAGTAGATATCAATCTGTACTGTAATCTATGTTTCTTTCCAGAATAGGGGGAAGGAAGTCATTGAATCAATGGCTGCCAAAAGAAATTAGGTCTGGCCTACAGCAAAAGCATGCTTTTCTATTGTGTAACTTTCCCCCAACTGAGTCTATGAGAAAGAGAGAGGAATAATCAATGAAGGACCCTAGGCTGGTTTCTGCCATTCTCAGCATTAAATGTTTTGAGGGATTTTTGATAAATCGAGGAAGAATGGCCAAAACCATAACTACTTTGTATTAAATGCTGACTTTATGCAGGCCATAGTTGCTAAGATACTCCCATATATTATCTGAACAAAGCCCCACAATAAAGCTAAAGTAGGAAACAGATGGAGAAAGTGAGAGCCTGTTTTCCATGTAAAAGACAACGAGAGGGTTAGACAGCTCTATTTACAAATCAGAAGTTAAGGAATGATATGCATAGTCGTCCTCTAGCTTCTCAGAATCTTCTCAAAGAGGGACAGTATTACCAAACAATGGAGAGTGAGACCACACACTTTGGCCTTGGAAGATGGCTAAAAGGCAGGAATGCATTTGACTATTATACTCACACCCCAGTATTCTTTTCCTATTTCACATTTCAATTCTTAATTATTTTTAGGACTTTATCAATTACTGAGGCCTTTTCACCAGCAGGATATCCACACAGTAACTCTGTAAGGCACATGTCATTGTTTTCCTTTCAATTGTTTAGCTCATTTGTTCTACAGCTCATGGAATGAGTGGGTCCTGAGCCCAGAACCCCAATTCCAAATTTCAAGCTCATTCCACAAACTTCTTTACCCAATTATTTGTAATCTTTTTAAAAATTTTAAATTCTTGCCTGATGATATTTTCCCATGATTTTTATAGAGAGTGGAAAGGGAGAGAGAGAGAAAGACACAGAGACAGAAATATCAATGTGAGAGAGATACATTGATTGGTTGCCATCTCACATGTCACAACCAAGGTTGGGGATCTAGCCTGCAACATGCCCTTGACCAGAATAAAACCCATTACCCTTCAGTCCACAGACCATTGCTCTATCCACTGAGCCAAATCAGCTAGGGCTTCATTGTAATCTTTGGACACAAACCCCTAACGGTGTTGGAAGGCAGTGGTCCCTGGGCCACCCCCTCTCCATCAGACATCACCAACCTGGAGGCCTAAGCATCATTGCTCCCTCGGGCCTGGAGACAGCGATCTGTAGAGACAGAGCAGAGCACAGTCAAACACCAACCCATTTATTTCTCAGCAGGACATCAAATGATTTCCCAGGTCAGGACAGAGGGGACTGGTTGGAGGTGTTACCTTCTCAAGCATTTCTCTATGCAGGAATATGGGAATGTAAAAGGAGAAAACCAGAGATAGCTAAACTTACCAACTTTGGACACATCCAGTATGTTTTCCTTAGCAATTCCATATTCTTGACAAAGTTCCTCAAACCTTTTCTTGAGTTTTGGGCTCACATTTGGATCCCGGGCTGTGGGAAAAGTGACAATAACTGCTGTGTCTTGTGTCGTGGTCATTGAGGCTCTGGGGGTGATGGGGGCAGATGGATGGAACGGGATGGCACCAAATGGTGCTTAGGCAGAAGTTAGAGGTGGACTATGGTCTGTCCTGAGTTTGATATTTTTAGGATTTCCCTGTAGCACAAGGAAAGATTTCATCATCTTCCCCTCAGTGAGCCTGAGGGATTACCCAAAGTGAGCCCCTCTCTTCAGAGAAGAAGAAATGTCCCAGGATAAGATTGGGTAGACTACTTTGTTCAGGTTTCCTTTCTTCTCCTGTCTCCCCACCCCAAAATGAGAATAAATATACTCTACCTAGAAGTATCAGCATCTCAAATTTTTGCTTATTGGTGACATTAATGAGATGAAAAATAATATAGTCATCATAGACCACTTCAATTATGCGAAATGTATTGAATCCAGCATCTGTGGAGGAAACAGAACACAGCTCAGAACTTCTTTGGTCCATGGGAGACAAGGGGGACTCTCAACCTATTCTCTTACACAGAGCAAATTCAAGTGCATATCCTGGAAGAGATAAAGGATGATATCTAATGCCTTTCATCAGTATCTCTCCGAGCTTCACATGGCAACTTCTAAGGGTACAACTGACTACTAGTAAAAATTCCACTGCTCATCACTGAACACTCGAGGTAGAAAAATTCAGCCACAGTAGCCACTTCCCCTATATCATCTTCCCTAAGGCTCTCCTATCTCCCTTGGCCATCTCTGCCAACTATGTGTCTGTTCTGTCTATACGCCCACTAGATTATATACCTAATACTCTATCTGGGCAATGTGCTGTGGCAATGGACACCAGAAACAATCACAAAGTTGGCAGAAAATGAGTAGCTGTCCTGATAATTTATGTTTTTTGTTCATATGTTTGTTTTAGCCCATTTTCTTTGGTTACAAATTACAAAATTGCCATCTTATTCTGATGGTATTGCATACCAGGCATTGGCTTTTACACATAAAGTTCTCCCAAATTGAGGATATTGGCTATTCGATGGCCTCATTAATGTTACATAAATAAGCATCAATCAAGAATTAATCGAGATCCTAAGAATGTGGGGATTTAGCCAATTTCTTACAGTTTGAAGTAGAATTTACAAAGACATTTTGTATACTTACAGGTAACAGTATATATACCATTCTCTGTTGTTTGGTGAGAAACCAAAAATATTTCAGTACATTCTCCATCGACCCTGTAAAACAGAATGAGCAGTTGTCCAAGAGATATTGATGTGTCTAGCTCCCTCACACTCCACCTGCAACTTGAGTGTCTGATTGCAATTAACTGTAGAACATTTCTGGTACAAATTTGAAACAGCTTTTATTTACCTTATTTCACTTTATTTGCTTCTTTAAAAATGAGTCAACTACTGATATCATTATTACTCTACCACCACTTCACACTATTATTATTACCATAGCTACTTGCCTAGATAATCAGTTGAGTTCTCAGATGTGCCAGCCTCTCAGATAAGTGCTCAATAAACATTATTTCACACACAAAAAGAAATTCATCAAAGAGAATTATTATCATCCTCTTTTACCCAAGGGAAAATTGGGGTGGAAAAAGATAAAATTTTTAGGTCACACAACTAGTAAGAGATCACTTCAAGAGATAGCTAGGCAGTTGACCCCCAATCCTATGTACTTAACCTATACTATATTGCCATACTACTTAAAATTCTGATACTCCACAATCTGTAAACTCCTCTCCTCCCATTTAAACTTATTCCTGTCACCAATTCTTATCTCCGAATCTAGGTAACAGGCAACTTCCTCAGTCCTACATTAGTGCCAAATGTGTGACTCTGATTTTGAATATAGGCCCACAATGTTGTGTGTGTGTGTGTGTGTGTGTGTGTGTGTGTGTGTGTGTATTTAGAGGTCCAAGACCATATTCAGGCTGCCATTTTCCCTTTCCCAAGTAAAAAAGGCCATGCTTACTTTACATGAAATTTCAGTGTCAGAGAAGAGTTGTCCCAGACCTTGATGGATTCCATAAAACCCCTCATGGCACTATCTTTTTCTATCATTTCTTTGACATCTGAGCCCAAGAGAACGGTATACCACTCCCCTGAAACCTGCAATAAATCAGTAAAATGATTATGTTAGAAAAGAAGAGGGGGACACACCACATAAACATCTGTATCCTTGACCTCTGACTCGTGGGCCTGGACTCACAGTGGTGATATGGAGATGGAACCCAGGTCAATTGATTCCACATGAAAGGTTCTTCCCACCATTCTCCAATGAGAATAGAGAGTTCCAGGTGTTATCATTTTCCCACAGGGTAAGAATACTCTTAATTCAAGGTCAGAAACCCTTCCCCTTTGCCTAACATATAAAAAACATTTTGCCCACCATGCCCTAACTGGTTTGGCTCAGTGGTTAGAGCATCAGGCTGCAGACTGAAGGGTCCCAGGTTGGAGTCTGGTCTAGGGCATGTATCTTGGTTGTGGCACATCCCCAGTGGGGAGTGTGCAGGAGGCAGCTGATCGATGTTTCTCTCTCATCGATGTTTCTAACTCTCTATCTCTTTCCTTCCTCTCTGTAAAAAATCAATAAAATATATTTAAAAATAATAAATAATAAATAAAAAACCTCTTGCCCTCTATTAGGGCCATCTCACTTCAGAATCCCCCAAACCACCCCCAAAGTCAGAAGACCCTATGCTTCTCCAGTTCTACCTTTGACATATCGAAGTTGCTTGTCACAACATCACGGTTTCCTTCATCCTGTGCACAGACCAGCGTCAACCCCAGACACAACAGCAGCAGCTTCATCTTGGGTGGAAAGATTCTGATTCAGCTACAGGCACTTGGAGTGAGTCTTTCCCTGATGATATGCCTCCACTCCCCAGCTCCTCTGTCTTTATATTCACTCTGGGTTTTTTGTTTTTGTTTTTTTTTTTGTCATGGGGCAGCACCTTTTCTCCTCCCATTCCAGGCATGGTCTGTATTCATTGATGTGACGCCAAGATTTTCCTTTCAATTTCACCTCTATTAGATCTACTTAATGACCTGAAATTAATGAAAAGGGACACTCAAAAAAAAAGTTAGTGGATGTCATAAAAGGCTGCCCTTTGGAACCTGAGTTAATTGTGAAATCAGTAAGCCAATTATGTGTGTCAGGCATGGAGTAGAACTGGAAAATACAATGTGTGGACAACCCATGCTCTCCCAGAAAAAGGCGAGTGACTCCATTTTAACTGGTCTCAGAAGCAAAGAAACTGTCTCTACTGAAGATGATAGGACCTATCACAAAGCATTCAGAGAGAGTAGATTAGAATAGAGTTTACTAAAATAATGTCTTGAAGGTATGGTGGCTGGTATTGAGGACATTTTCATTCCTTGTCCTTGTCGGAGTTCAACCACAATGAATAAACAAATGTTCAATTACTTCGTATACTTCGCTTTATACCATAGACCCCCTAAGAGAAATGGAGAAGTAGAAGTTGTCATCCCTTTCTTCAAACAACCTTCACTGAAGGTGGGGAAATGCATTACATACTAAATAAACACTTCACTCTACAAGCATCTGAACTAACCCAACAAAGTGGGACCAAGTCCAGAACATCTTGGGTCAGGAAAAGGGATGATACTGAGGAGGTGACATCCTGTAGAAAGTGCTTAAGAACACTGGCTTTGAAGTCATGTAGACTGGGGTTTCAGTCCTATAGCTGTCATTTTGAAGCCACTAGGACAAATTTAACCTCTCAGAGACTTAGTGTCCTCTTAATGTGGATAATTGTACCTGTCAATAGATTGCTATGGGGATTCAGTGTTATGGTGTGTGTAGATCCCTCAGACTAATGTCTAGCACAACTGGGCTGATGGAATCAGAATTATTCCTGGGAAAGTGGGTTTTGGGGGAGGTCTTGGAAATTAGGCAGGTGTGGAGATGTAGAGAGCAAGTGGGAAGGGGATTCTTGGTGAGAGGGATGTGATTTAGGCTCCTGTGCCTGCTGCTGGGGCTTGTTAAAAGCTATGGCTCATTCATGGCTTGTGTTAATTGTTCCCTTTTGCATTCCCCTCCCCTTAATTCAGAAAGAGGCCAGTGTCATGGGAGGACTGGGCACAAGGCAGTGAATGTAGGAATTGTGGCATTCTAGTTGTGGCCTGCTTTCCAAAGTCATCCCAGCCCCTTGTGTAATCATTCCTAGTTCATGCTCAACCAATATCCAGTCACTGGTATTTTGAGGTCTAACTGTAGGCCCCATGTGTGGCCTGTTGGCTGTCCTGCCCCTGACATAGAGGAACTGAGCTTGACAAAGGCTGTGCACTTCACTTTGTCTAATTCATTCTCTCCAAGAGCAACCTGTTTGCAAGACGAACTGGGCTATAATGCTCAGGGGAGAGTCAGCTACCGTTGCTGCCTCATCATCTGTATCTCAGCCCTCTGGCCTCCTAAATCTGTACCCACATCAGAGCGCCATATTGTAAGCACCATATCTGCTTCTGGTGGTGCCAACTTTTTTTTTTTTTTTTTTTCACCTTTGTACCTACTGAAGCACCTGGTACATAGTATCACCTTAGGAATGATTGTACATCAAGTCCTATAATAGAGGCTCCATGTGTTCTTGTTATTAGAGGAAACTTTATATAAAATTCTTTTATAAATGGAAATATTACTTTTGGGAAGCGACCTGCTAATTAATATTATTGAGTCACAGGAGAAGAGAGAAAGGATAGGACTGAAGTCTATGATAAGAAGCCTATGTTATGGAAGAGCTTATCTTCTCAAATCTTAGTTGACCATTGCTCACCCTGATTATTCACTTCCATTTCAAATCTCCCCAGTTTTGGGTGTGAGGGGATCAGTAAGCTTTGCCAGTGCCACCTGGAAAATACTTAGACAGTAAAGTCATGGCTGCACCAATACCAAGTCCCTAGCTGTAAGCCATCCAGCTAGGGACTTGGTGAAAGAAAACCCAGACAAAACCAAAGCTGAAGTAATATAAAATGATTCTGTGCTTTACAATAGGATTCTTACAATAGAAATTAAACAATACTCCTGCATTGTATTTAAATATTTGTGGTGGGAGTGTGGAATAACAGTCTAAAATTACTCTAACAACTTATAGATGACAAATAAATATCATAGTTAAATGAATTATTGACTTTTTATATATATTAGGGAGGATGGTAAAAGGTAGAGGTGGATAAAGAAAAAAAGAGAGTAATTCTTGATGTTATCATCTCGCAGATGATAGTGTAAGTACATGGGATGAGGATTCAATTTACAGAAGTGCACTTGGCCACCCATCAACAAGAGTTTGTGTCTAATGCAAGGCACACAGATACAACCTTTGACTGTAGAGTAACTTTGTGTGTGGTGCAGCAAGTTGCTTTCAGAGATGATGCTACTACAGGATTTTTGAGAAATAATGATTCAACTTAATTCAATGACCATTACCAAATGCCTACTTTACACTAGCTCTGTGCCAGGCACTTTGAGAGTTAAAGACATAAATAATATAGAGGTTGTGCCCTCCAGAAACTCCTGGCCAGTGTGAGGGTGATTTGAAAACAATTTAATTTTGAGATAGAAAGTTTTTAAAATTAAAGCCTTATCACCTAATTCCAGGTATGAAACCAGAAGAATTTTTTCCTCCAGATGGGTGGCACCTTACCTAAGGGGCACACGACTTAGTGGGCTCTGGTCCTCTCCTGGTCCAGTGGACAGGGTAAGGGGGCAAGGAAGTCTCTTGGAAGTAAAGGTTTATGGAAAAATAAATGTGAGTTGGGTTGTTCTGCCAGCCTATGGAACCCAAGCAAACCAACTCCTTCCTGTCTGCCAGGGTACAAGCAGCACTTCTGAGGAGCCAGTCTCAACCAGCACCATAGTAGCAGGTGGACCAAGTATGCATCCTGTCCTCTGAGACCACCCTGGGGAGGTAGCCTCTGGACCTTCTGTTTTATGGTACCCAATACTGTGGTCCTCACTGCTGTTAAGAATTGTCAACCACTCCATGGATGAGCTTCCTGGGCTCAAAATATCTACCAATATTTTAAGAACAGAGAGCTAACATTAGGTCATATTCCCACATTTCAATCATGGCAAGTGAATCCAAACTGTTATGTCACAATCAATTTGCAACAGTTACTTTTATAATTAAGGTAATCAAAGAAAACAGGTCATATTCAAAGGCATCTTTGTTCAAGCATGAGATCGTACCATAATCCACTCACCAAAGCAAATAGTCATTCTGGGGATTTATTTTGCAGCAGTACAAATGCCATCTATCCAGGGCACAGATTTTAAAAATAATATTTGGACTTTAGTAACAGATTAAGAACTCAGTGATTATTAGCTAAAGTGCTTTACAAATATTATTTCATATAATCTTCACAATAGCTCTATATGATAGATGCTAGTATCCTGTTTTACAGAGGCATGAACTACGACTCGTGGAGGTTAAGTAAACATAACAAGATAACACAACTAACAAGTGGAGAAACCCATATTGGAACCCAACACTGTCTAATCCAAGAGCCCCTACTCTTATTGACTCTACTACACAGTTGAGGCTTTGATGTTTTGTTTTGTTTTTAATTCTTACCTGAGAATATTTTCCATTGATTTTTTTCAGAGTGAAGAGAAGGAGGGAGGAGGGAGAGAGAGCGATTGATTGCGAGAGAGAAACATCCGTGTGAGAGAGACACATTGATTGGTTGTCTCCCGCACTCACCCCAGGCAGGGCTGGGGATCACACCTGCAACCAAGGTATGTGTCCTTGACCAGGAATCAAACCCAATGCATCGACCACTGAGAAACACAGGGCAGGGCCAGCCTTGATGTTTCTGACACGAAGGGCTGATGGATCAGGAGTAAGTAATGAACCTCAGAGATGTCTGCCTGGTAGTTGATACTAAAAAGTTGCATGTAGATTTTTCAAAAGCATGGCACCATGGGTGTAGCTGCAAGAGTCTGATCAGGAAAGGGGCAAGTAACAACCATCTCTTGGTAAATAAATATTTGGCAGGTGAATGGGTGGATAAATGAATAGGCAGGTATTGCTCTTCTAATAAGAAATTAGGAAATGCTTCCAAAAACAAAAAGCAAAAGCTATTCCCTTCCATTGATGGATTTGAGTTAAGGACCTGGTCACTGACCACATTAAGATTTCCTCACCCACCACCAAGTATAAGGCCTTTTATAAGTAGCCTGCAGGAAGCGTGGCAGTCTGCCAGGTGGCTGAGATCCGACTGCCCTAAGGCATGACTCAGTGTGTGGGTAAGGGGCTTATGGAGTCCATGTACGACCAGATTTATGACCCTTTTATAACCAGGCAACTTGATTGAAACTAACTGGCTGGAAATAGATTTCATGACCTTGTTTTCAATCACACTCTGGATTCAATCAACATATCACTAATTGAGAAAGCCAGGGGCAGCACTCAAGCCATGTTATATAACACCAAGGTGCAGTCAGTGCCAAGGAGAACAGCAAGAAGCAAAAGCTTGTTTGGTTCACGTGCCAGAGTGGAAGTATGGCGTGGTCCCCAGCACACAGGGTGCTTCTGCATCCTGCTGGTACTGACTCAAAGCCAGTTCTAAAACACCCACTTCCTTCACCTGGGAAAGGTTGCTTAAAACTAACAACAAACACGTCTCATCTGTGTCAGCTGGGTCTTGGGGAAAGCAGACACATTTAGGAGTGGAAAGGGTTTATTGGGGTGTAACCCTTATGAAAGGGAAAAAGAGGAAGCAGGATTAGGGAAGGGGAGTGGATCTGACAAAGTCTTTGTCAGCCCCACTGGGAGCTCTGGAGCACCTTAGCAGAGTCCTGTGCTGGGCAGAAATGGTTAGGTCCTTGTCACACAGTACTCCTCAGTCATGGGCTCAGCCCACCCCAACAAGATTAGTAGCTGAGCTCAAGAGTTGAGGGAAATCTGAAAGAGGTAACAGTGGAGGCTGTCAGCTGGACACACTCCTCACAGCTGGCCCGTGAGCCCCTTCTTGAAGGGGGAATGTGAGCAACACAGCTCTACAGCTGGCATTCCAT